CTTGTTGTTATGGTGGTACGAAATTGGGTGCTCGAGCTACGTTCAATATAGTGATGGCTACAAAGGTTGTCTAGTACAGTATTTACATTTATGATCATCATTTTGACACGACATTGTTTATAGTTTGAGTCAAATAGTTGAGCTTATGTGGCGAGTTGTAATATCATAGATAAGGTTGTGGTGCTTTAGACTGTTCTTTTGATGTTGGGGTGAACACTGATCCTGGCAGCGACTCGGGCGCTCCCATTCTTTTCTTTTCTTTTTTTTCGTACGCCCTGACCACTCCAATCTGGCCCGAGATGACCTCCCTCTCCCTCCCCACAACAGTTGCCCCTCCTCTTAAGTCAGGGGCTCTTAAAGGGGACACTTAAGGTGTAGATCAAGGATTTTGAAGGATTACCTACGGTTTAGCTGGGGAAATCAGGAGTGGTATCTACGGTGCATGTCGAGAGGTTTAGAAGGCACCCACGGTGTAGGTCTCATATAGATCTGAAAATACACTTCAGGGTTTATGTCGTCCACAGCAACTGTACCATCATTATTAACCCTTCATAAACTAATAAGATGCATGTTAACTGCTAATTGGGAGACTTCGCCATCCAAACTACTGGTTGAAGCATCAAATTTTGTTTGAGCAAGCACTGTTGACACAAATACCCCCTTTACCCAACGACATGGGCTAATGACGTAACGGGGAGCTGCCACCGACTGCCATAGTACAAGAACGTTAATCTGGAATACTCAGTTTAACACTGGCCACATAATAAAGCCAAAAGTGTTTATCTTCTGTGTGCAAAAGCTATTTCGGGTTATTTTAATCATATGGATAATATGTTTTCAAGAGGATAAGGGTTCGTACATTATTTATTTTTACGAGCCAAGGATGAATGTCCTTAACTAGTTCATATAAGATACATTGCAATAAATGGTATGATTGTATCTAATAGTGGGGTAACAAACATTTGAGAAGTTGACTTATCTTTGTTCCGATGCAGTTAATTAATAGACAATATCTTCTATAATGACAAATAAGTTGTGTCTGTGAGTAGTGGGGTTTCTAGACGACTGGTGAACGTTTGTGCAAGTGGACGTTTATTTTTTTTTTTATGACTACATGTTCTCTCCTTAAGGTGGAAGTTACTTGCATGGAGTAAAGCGTCAACGTACATTTGTATTACATTGAAAGTTATTGAAGACGATGAAGATAAATTTAGCATTGGGAGCTTTTGATGAAGAATTTATGGGTTTTAAAGTAACTGAATTACATTGCATTTTATAAATACATAAAAAAATTCAATGTAAAGCTTCAGTTATTTAGTTCTTGTAATTATCTTGTCAGAACGGGCACACATTTCTTATGAGCGTTCAGTGTTTTACATATAGCAGGTAAATTTGCTAATCGGGTACCAGTGCGATACATTGCTGTAAACAGTAAAAGAATTTTGTCGTTATTAATTCGGTCAAGCTTGCTGAACCAAGAATACCTTTGAATGATCCCTGTCCAGGCGCCTCATTTGGCGCGGACATTAATTGTACTGTATTCGAATTGGTGTCTACATTACAAATGTACATTAGTAATACAGGTAGTAGTTTGTTTTTTGGAGTAAAATTCCGTTTAAGTATAAAGAAGCAAAGAAACTGATAAGTCAAGCTTTGCCAGTTTCTATATAAAGATAATGCAAGATGCTTTGGATGGGTTAAGTTTTGCTAGTATAAACATTAGTAGTCATGCACTGTGATGACGGTACCTTACCTTCAGTATACAGGTATGATTGTTAGGAAATCATATGCTGTTGTGGAAGATCCTCAAAGTGTAGGCCATGCGAGAAATTAGCTTGAGTATTATGGTAGTTTGAGAAATTAGCTTTCCTGTTAGTTCATAAGGTTTGACATGGTTTCACTTGAATGTAGTGTAAACTTCCTACTGTACGTTTGGTACCAGGTAATGGCTGTTTCATATGAGAGCCTTTTATGTATTTTTGTAATCTGTTCACATTATAACCCTCTTCAGTAATATATATATATATATATATATATATATATATATATATATATATATATATATATATATATAAAAGAAACAAGGTAAATATTAAGTAGCTGTAGGTATTTTCATAATGACCTTGCCCACATGCACGCTAAGCTGACCGCACGTACGTCTACCCAACAGCTGAAGACACCATAAAGTCGGCCTCAGTTGTGGGACATCACTGTTATTGTTACGATATGGAGTTAAATATAATTATTGGTGAACCAATTTGATTGACATTAATTATGTTGCATACTTACACATGTGGTCTTAAGTAAAAGGTTCTACCTGTGACAAGAAAAATATCAGGTCATTTTATAAGAAGGCAAAGCAGTACCACATGTAGGTCAGGAAAGACGTTAGAAGAAGTATTGAATATTGGTGAGCTTTCTTTGGCTGATGAATGATGAGGCTATACTTACAGTGTACATGCGTGGTAATGCGCACGTCGGTAGATAGTAGATACTTCATGGTGTGTAAGTTTAGTAGTAAGCGTTATGTGATAGATAAATGAGTGGCAGCTTTTGGTGTTTTGGAATGTTTAACGGCTCTGAGGATGCTGCTGCTGGCCTCTATTGGGCACTAGATGGGATGGCCCCCAAAAATCTGCAGTATTAAAAGTTTTAGTGTTAAGAACTCATGTTATGGGGGTGAGAATGTAGAATTGTGGGAATTAATATAAGTAGCATAGGTAACACTATGAATGCAGTAAGTATGAGTAGAAACTAATTATTTGTTCAAGTATTTTTGCTTCAAATTTTGAGAAATAACTTAATACAGTAGTTGTGTTGTACTGTGATGGCAGTGGCCGGCCGAGGTGAGTTAGTGAAGCCAGCCGGCCGCACGGGAGCAGCACCTCCCTGACATCACCACTTCTTCCTCTCCTGAAGTTTACGTTGTCGTAGAGTTTACCAGTATTTGTACAGTAGGTTTTATTTGTATAATTTTTCAACAAAGTCAATTTGGAATTTACAAATTATATTATTTACTTTTAGTTGCTGTACTTCACTCAGGTTGAAAATCGCGTTAAACCCTTTACGGGATGAGTGGAGATTTGAAGCTGTCCTCCCAATAACTTCGTTATTTATATCTAAAGTTTAGCAGATGCATTCTTACAATCATGATATAGTAAACCTTCGACGTGCTCTAGAAGTTAGGTTAACGGTGATATCTGCCATCACTGACGCAAGGTCTAAAGAAAGTTTGGCAGTGTTTGGTCGCAGCTGTGGTAGTGAAGAGGGAGGGGGGGGGGAGGGTTGGGGGTTGTGACGGCGCGGGTGTGGGAGCTTGGTTTGCTCAGTCTGTAACAGTGAGCTGAGGTGTCACCATCAACCTCCCCACTCTGGACTTACCGTGCGCTTCCATCAACTTGCTTGTTTACACATATTTTTCTAAACCCCAAAATAATACTTAATGACTGTGGATATAATGGTGCTCTCGGATCTTGGAATAAGTGCCACTTCAGGCGCACAGGTACGTACAGATTGTCACAAGTTAAAAGACTTGATCAGCATTATGGTAATTTTTTATGTTTGTTTACGCGTTAATGCATTTGATAATTATTGATCTAAACCAGTCATAATTGAAAGACTTGATTATCATATATTGCTTCTATTTTGTTTGTTACATTTATGAAGTTGGTGCAGTTGAAATCGGTTGTAATCTAAACATACCTGCCTTTTATGTTAGAAGTTACTCTGTTTCCTCAACTATAGCACTGATATTTCACGTTACTGTGGCGGGCACATTAGGGACGTCATTCACATAATACAAATAGTTAGCTTTATTACACTTTGTTTTTGTGTTTTGGTACGAAGAAAAGTTTGAGTTGGGTTGAAGTAAACATGTTAGGATACGGTTGTCGGGGATCCCTGTTATTGAAAAGGCCACAGTTGCTCCTCGCGATGATTCACTAAGAAATACTGTACAGTCATATGAGGATATAATTATAGTTTCCCGGAAGCTGGAATGTATCACTAATGTAAACAATATAAAGGTAAACTGGTTAAATTGGTGTGCCTGAAGTTGGGTTGATTTATTTTCACTCATGTTTACTCATGCTTTTTAATTAATGTCATAATTTATTTATAATCTAGTTGTGTTATTGGATTTTGGAACTAAGTTTATGAGATAACGGCGAATGTAAAGGTCACAAGAAAAGATTCACACTTAAGGTCGGAAATTATAGTGTGATGTACAGATGATGAAAAGTCGATCTCGTGTGATTAGTGTAACGGTAAACTTAACTTCATTGGTGGAGAAATGGAGGTGATAAAACCTTGGTGATGTGAATGGTAGCATAATTTGAGTTTTGTTAAAAGTTTAATGTTGGCCAAATTTGGTTCCGCACATAGCTCTCGAAGGGGGATTGATTTTTGAGCGGTCATGCACTATGTAATTACTTATCTATAATAACCAAAACATTGAAAATCTCCTCTTGGTGCAGATTGTATTTCATGTAATTATTTATAGTCAATACCTTGAAACCCTCAAAACAAAATTCTGAAGGTTATCCTTAGCAACCTTATAGTTTATTGGGTCGAGATAGGTTTGTAGAGGGTTATTCAACCTCCAAAAGTTATCCCTTAAAACTTTTGGCTCGATAACATAGGTTAGTGTCGCTGAGTCGAAGTTTACTTCATTCAGTCGGCTTTTAAACTTTCAAATAAGATTCAGGCTACCAATCGAAATGTAACATGTATTGTGAACTAGCTATGGCATTAACTGTCTGACAGCTTATTATTGTAAGAATGTTCCATATTTAATACCATATTTTGAACTTTGGCTTAATATCATATCAGAGGAGGAAGGAGGGTCAATCGTACATCAAATTAGCTTCATGTCCTGGTTGGACTGCAGAAGTTGAAGAGTTTAGTGAACCAGGTCGAATGCGGTGCTTTAGAGCGTTTATATTCCTTATACTATATTCGAATAATATTGTGAAATGTTTTTTTGTTTTGTTTTTCCACAGCCGGTCAGCCAGTGGTCTTCAAGTAACGTTGTGGACTGGATGGCAGCGCTTAACATGGCACCATACACAGAATTATTCAAAGCAAAGGATATCAAAGGAACAGACCTCCTATCATTGGACAAAGACAAACTTGGGGTGAGTACCATGACATTGTTATAAATTGACGAGAAAACACTAATCGGATGGTCAAAGAGTGTATCATTAGGCTGCTTGTTAGAATGTGTCCTGCAGCAAGGGTTCCATAAACTTTTGTCGCAGTGAAACACGTTGCTAGCTGACAAGACCTTAGCGCGAAATGGCTGTTAAGGTTAACCAGCGATGTTGCTAATTTGGGGAACGAAAGGTGGGAGGGTTGGCGACGCTTGAGACGTGACGACGCCAGTGTGGCTTTGAAGCGTGAAGGTGTCACAGCAGTGGTCCCCATTTTCTTGACCAGCCTTGTGTTGTTCACAGCTCACTTCACGTTTTCCTCACTCACTGTGATACTTTTATCTAGTCTTCGTTGTTTGTTTGTTAAGCTCGTTTATTGTTCTTGTTAATATTTCTTTGTTTTATAACTTTATTTTTGATGAATATACATATATGGGTTTCATACTTGTATAAGCTTTAGTTGTATTTGTGTGCACTGTAAAGTGCACGTGGTTTTGTGTGTTGGTATCAGAAAAACGATTATATTGTTTTGTTGATACTTATTGCTATTGTGTAGTTATGGGTCCTTTATTAATATCTCCTTTCAAGTCTCCCAGTGTTGTTTTGTCTAAGCTAAGAGAGTGGTCTTCACGTAAGTCTCAGCATGTAGAAGGTGCTGAGAAAGCTGCAGTGCAAAATGTGTCCACATCACCTCACAAACCTGGCAGTCCCCGGCTTAGAATATCGAGGAACCAGGCGTTGGAGGTTGTAGATTTGTTCTCGACACCTCAACCGCAGTGTTCTTATGCTTTGACTACCCCAGACAGTGGAATATATGTTAATTCCATATCTCGCGAATACCTTGCACGTTCTCGACCTAAAGAGCAAATTAAGATCAGTAGTCCTATTTCCATCAGCAGTGTTACTCCAACTCCACACACTTGTCCAAGGCTGCAGGCAATACATGCAGCATTACATTCACAAAAATGGAAGCAGAAAAAATCTTTTGAAAGTGAGGCATGTATGAACTCGGAACCCTCTTGTTCCTGTCAGGTTCAATTTTCTCACACTTCAACTTATATTCGACGCACATCAACAGCTTCAACTGTGTCAGCCGCAGCAGCTTCCATAGCCACCACTACCACATCTGTACCTAGTGAGACATCATTCAGTGTTCTATCTGATGATACGGACTCTTGGTGCCTTAAATTGTCCGATCTAGATTCTCCAGATTGTCTTTCGTTCAGTCCTGGCTGGCCCAAGACAGTGCATGACAATGTCCGGGTGCAAATTATGCAGCCCAATGAATCTCTTGACCAATGGCTCTCGCCAAAAAATCTTTCTCTGGTTTCGGATAAACCGTCAGGTGGTTGTAATAATGATGTCTCCCTCAAGGAACAAGTTGAACCATGTATTAGCATTGCTAACAATTACATGTCTGTGGATAAAACTCAGGTACGTAGTAATGATTTTTATGTATTTTTGCTGAAAACTAAACATACTGTAGTTTGAAAATCGCTTTCAAAGTCGACAACAAGAACCAACCAAACTTGTCTGACGAAGAATAATTTTTAGTAATGGATAATTAAGATTTGGTTGGTTTTGTGCTTTAAACAAACCTATAGGTAAAGATTTCTTTAAAAAAACAACAGGGAGTTAACCTAAACCTTTATTCTTATTTGATATATTTGTTTTAATGTACAAAACTTAATCCATTGGGAAACAGATGGAAAAATTAGTGTGAACTTGTGAAAATATTTAATATGTTCAATTATATATGACAGCACAAGTAATAGTCTAACTTAACCTAGCTGAAAAATAACCCAAGTTCATTAGGGTAGGTCCTGTATGGTCAACTCATTGTGTATACAGTTGGAGTAATTAAGTTTCCAGCCAGGTTGTAAACAAATAAAATGGGTATTGCGTGTGCAGTGTAGAGACATTTAAACAATAATTTAATTAAATTCACACATTTCTTTTTCCTTGTTCTCCCTCTGGATTTGGGAAATTTCATACAGTAGTTGGTAAATACTCCCTAGTGGCTATGTATGGAACTCTTACTTTAATATTTATATACTGTATAGGGTGATAGATAGATGGTTAGGTTAGGTTTGACATGGATACTAATACTTGAGCCGTTAGGTTTGGTTTTCTTAGTCTTGTGCATATTTTTACCCTACAATTCTCCTTTACTTCAGAGACCTGCCCACTTTTTTTTCCATAAATAATTGATGGGTTAAAACATACACAAAACTGAGAAAACCAAACCTTACTGACTTAAATATCAGTACTCATGTCAAACCTAACCTAACCTTACCTGACCTAACCACCTATCAAAAGGGGGCTCCCTCTCTGGTGTGTGAAGTTAACCGAACTAGACAAGAGGAAAGGGAAGGAATCTAAAATAAATAAATAAATCTGACAAACCCAAGCAAGTACATATGCACATGACACCGCCACTTCTCTGATTGGCTGAGTAAGAAATCAACAATGTACATGTATATCCCTGCAAACTTGTACATTCTTGAGTGGAAATAATTCAAACCATAATTTTTTTTACAGAAAACACTATACGTAAAGTATTTTTTTAACCTCGATGAGAATCAATACCATATAAATTTTCTTGTTTGTTCAATACGGAATATTAAGCCTGTAGTCACATCATGAATTTTTTTTCTACTTCTCAATGCATATACAGTACTGTAAATTTAAATTTTTTTCAGTACTATACTTCAGTATGAATTGGTTGTTTTTGACACTGGATTCGTATTACTGTACAGTCAGTTCTGCTATAACGCGATAGTTGTGTTCTTGTAAAACATTGTGTTATAGAAATTCGCGTAATTAGAAATAACAGGGTCTTATGGAGGAAATAGGGTTAAGTGCAGATTACTACTCGAAATCGAAAAAAAAATAGTAGTTAGCCTAACACAAAGGATAGCACAGTCTAAATAAATGTTACATTCGTATCTAATAATGAAATCATACAGTAAATGTAACACTTTACCTTGAAAAAATATGAATATAACTTGATGGGGGAGAAGGGTGATTTTGAGGTTGATAACATAGAGCTTCTCTTCAAGGGTTATAGCCTCTCTTTTACGATCATCACCGGGAATGCGATCACCAGAACGCTTCTTTGAGATATTCTTCTGTACCATATTCACAGTTAATACCACAAAATTGGAGAAATAGTAAGCAATAATCGCGTTACAGCAAACAAGCGTTCGCGTTATACAAATACCATTCCTCTATTCATAAATCACGTTAGAGCCAATTCGCGTTGTCAAAACATGCGTTATAGCAGAACTCGCTGTACTGTATTGCATTGTATTAAAAATATTACAAATCAATTTTTTTCTTTAAGTTTTTAGTTACAGTAATTGCCTTTTGTAAAGAGTTTGTCATTTTCTTTAAATGAGAAATACACAATGTTTTTTATACCCTTTAAATGTAGGTGATCTGGAATTGCTGCCCTTTCATCGTTATCTGTGCTCACCTGAGTTGAACACTGAATCTTAAAAACAATTAAGCTATTTTTCATCTTGGCACATTGCTGCCCATGTTGGCCTCTTGAATGAGTTACTGTATGTACTGTAATTAGTTTTCCCCTCCTATTTAAGGGCCACTTTATCTTATTGGATTAAAAGACATGTTGGTATTGATCTCATCTGCCTTGTTGACATTAATATTGCACTCAAAGCACATGGTTACTTAAAATTTAATGAACTTAATATTCTATACAGTGTATGTGAAGAGAGTAAAGGAATTTTTTATGGGTTTCTTGCTGAGGTACAGGTATACATTCATGTTTTGTACCTTCGGTAAGAGAGCTAGAATGCATTTTTATTAGTGCCTTCATTTTTCCTTGCTCCCCCACCTAATTTTTATTGTTTTGAAAACATATCAGTGAAGAGCTCAGTTGTAACAAGGATGACCAATAATTTGTCGTGGACATCAAAAAGCATTCTGTTGAATTGCAGCCAGAAATTTTTAGTTGGATTGATATACTGTACAGTAATGTATTTACATATCTCCCCAACACCACTTTAATTTTTGTCAATGTTTAAGTTCAGGATGCAAGGTTGACAAGATACTGATTTTAAGGCCTTGACATACTATACACTAAAATACCTATCTAAACACACACAAACACAACTTTGTGCCTGACATTATTAAAAAATTTAATTGAAACAATAGGTTTGACAGCAAGATTTATTTTTATTTACAGTTTCATAGTGGTACAGGTATCTGCATCAGTGTTTAGGGTCTTTCCATTAAGGTAATCTGAAATGGAAGCACAGTACAGTAGACAAGCCACAAAACACTGAGAAATATGGCTAATAACCATAATTTTATATGATTTTAGGAATTTGGCACGTGCACCTGTATATATGACCCTCAAGAATGTGAATACTGTACAATAATCATTACTGGGTATCTTTCCAGTTGTAGGCCCCCCATCAGTAAAAGCATTACTAATAAGTTATTTCTTTTCTCCAGAATATGGGCATCAAAGATGAGTATCACCAAAAGACCATCCTCATCAATATAGATCAATTACAAAGTGATTGTCGTGATGGGGAGAATATGGCTTCTTCTGGAATTGGTGGTATAGACTGCAGCACCCCTGCTTCTCATCACAACCTTCGTAACCACTCCTTCCATGACCTCCACCGATGTGACAAATGTGGAATTTACCTTAGAGGTTTTGTCCATCAAGGACAGTTTTGTCAGGGTAAGATATAATGAGGGAAACTTTTTTATTAATATAAGTTTTAGTAGTACCCCTATGATTATTTTAATTGGGGAAATACGGGTACCTTGTATAGTAAAGATTTTAATTTTTCAATTGTTTTCAAGCTTTTTCTGATGTAACGCAGGATGGATTTTGAATAAGAAAAACATACCCACAAAAGTGTGGAAATTGACCATGAAGCTATGATGATGATGATAATATGCACCCACAGTACAGTATTTGGGTTACGTCACTCCCAACATTATTTACACAATTGCTTGCACGCACTTACATTGTGTACCCAGTGTATTATGTGTATGAGATTTGTTGAATATATAAAATATATGTACTGTTGAGAAATGAAGAAAATATAGACATTACTGTGTTCAACTGAAAAGAATGGAGTTCATGCTTGCCTTCATGGACTTAGCTTTAGATGGGTGGGCAAGAGTGTTTGAGCTGGCATCTCGACGCCGTTTGTTTACTACAGTATAGTATGTTGTATAATATAATATGAAACAACAAAGCCCAACCATTACTTAAGCAACGGGGAACTACGTAACCAATCACTGATCACATTTACATTCATTCATAATTTTTACTGCGTACTATAGTAAACAAACGGCCTTGAGTTGCCAGCTGTCTCCAGCAGTGTTCGAAGAATCTTGAACGAGGAAGTACAAGGTTAATGTTGAGGATACATTGCTATATGGGAGTAAAACAAGGACCGGATACAAGTGGAATTTACAGTAATGATGTTTGAGCATGTGTTAGAATATAATAAAACAAAAATAGAAGTGTGTTGGTATAATAGAACTTAACAGGCTATGAACATATGAGAAGTGATGGAATTGTAAAAAGCATGTATAGTACAATACTGTATTGTATTATTGAGAAATGGATTGTTGGAGAGGGGAAAAACCACAGTGGAGATGTAAGGATAAGTGATCGACATTCAAGAAGCAACAGAACATGTGAATGATGGGAGAACCTGGCATTGATGGAAATTTCGAATGAATGGATGAAGTTGAGAGCCATGAGGAAGTACACCTACAAATACCCACATAGTGTAATAATTCATAGTTGAGTACCCATCTAACCAACCCTGAGTATAAATTTTTAGTTTTTATTAGTAAGAATAGAGTTCACATAGAATTATTCTATTTTCCAGACTGTGGACTGATAGCCCACCGCACATGTGCTGCCACTGGATTGCCTCCATGTGTTAAACAATCGTCCAAATACTTTCGTCGCATATTACTCTCCTCTGTATTTGGTTTGAGCTTGTGTACACAATTCACTCCTGGAGAAAGTCCAGCTCCACATCTGCTTGTGCGATGTTGTCAGGAAATTGTATTCCGTGCCAGGAGTGATCCCAACATAGATCCATATCGCTTGTACCGCACACCACCCCAACAGGAAACATTGGCTCAGCTGAGACAGGACTGTGATGAAGGTTAGTGTACACAAACAGTAGTACAGTATGATAGAACACTCTATCCAATAGCCCTCATATAAGTGTGAGGAATGAAAGTGCAAGCCATGGCTTACACCATTGGTAAGCAGGTTGTTCCAATAAGAGGAGGACCTTCAATTGATTCCTGTACAGTTCTCTTCTATCCATTAATTTCTGGTTCATATCTTTTGGTACCATTAATTTGCCCCACCCCCATTTTTTTTGGCAATACAGAATATTGTACATGTACCGACACAGAAATAGTATAGTACGGCAACTTGTGGTTGTAAGTTTTGCATTATCACATTTTTGGGATGGAAAATTGTTTGGTATAATGAACACAATGTTTTATGTTAAAATAAAGTAATATTAAAATTTCTTCTTTGGCATCATCGTTTTTTGATGTACAATTGCATTTATAATTTCAGATATGTTCAAAGTTGACCTTGGTGCATATGAGCCCCATGTTATTGCGTACCTGATTAAGAGATATCTTCGAGAGCTCCCTGAACCAGTGATTCCCGAGACTTTTTATGATCGCTTCATTGAAGCTGCTCGTATCCATAATGATGACCAATGTGCCAAGTGTATGTCTCAAATGGTCACGGAACTTGTTCCTCATCATTATTACACTTTGCAGTAAGTACTGTATTTAATTTCTTACATTACTGTACAGTACTATGTTTATAAGTTTTTCTTAGTGGTTGTGGTGAGATCTATCTGTTTAGGTATTTGAAATACTGTACTGTACTCGTGATACATTTTTTTTTCTTTTTTTTCTGCTTTTTATCTTTCACGTGAATTCATTTGTTGATAAATAAATTTGGTGTTAATTGTTATATTACCAAAGAGATTGAATGTATGGAGGCGGCACCTGCTGTCTCAAGTGAAGTCACTGAGTGTGACTGATGCCTTTACCAAATGGCAGTGCTTTTCTCTGTGACTTCATCTTCCTTGGTTGATCCCTCTATAATGTGCATAATAAATAAAACAACAGTATAAATCCTGCAGAGTTATCTGTAACCAACGCTTGTTCTCAGGTAGCTGCAGCAACTATGGCCTTGTTGCCCTGACCAGGGTGGTGGCCTGGCTTCATACGCCTCTGTTACATACACAGCGAACACCGCCTCCATCCATTCAACCTCCTTGTATATTACATATGTATAGTGTATGAACTTTCAGCATTTAAAGAAGTTTTTGTCAACTTTGTAATTTTCTCAGGTTTTTGATGAGCCACTTCTTGCAACTATGTCAACTCCAGGTTGGACGGGGCATCTTAGATCCACCAACTTTCCTTATTCAGTCTCTCTGTCATGTACTCCTAAGACCACCATGGGAAAAAATTGTGTAAGTACAGTATTATGTATTTTAAGTTAATGAAAATATTTAGGATTTAGTAATACAGGCACTACTGTATTTTTTCTTTATATCCCCCCGTTACTTTGCAAAAAAGGGTAATGTAAATGATGAACAAATAGATTTTATTTTATTTTTTTATAATGCATTGTTGATTTGTAATACTGTAGATACTTAATTGTGTAAGTTTTTTGGAAAGGGATAAATGAATTACATGAACTTGTGCATGATGTGTAGGTGATCACATGTTAAACTACATTTTTATAATTACCTGTACATGATAAATATATATATATATATATATATTTCTTTTCCTTTTATAGGGAGCTTGCTCGTAACACTGAAGCCCACATGCGTGTCGTGGAGATGCTACTGATGAAAGTAGATTGGGGTGAAAAGGTCCCTGCTTTTGCACCAGCACCTGCTCTACCACCAAGGCCTCCTCGTTCATCAGTAACCACAATTGTGGATGAACCAAGCCCACCATCTCCTCCTATATCTTATTGCTCGAACATCCCAGCAAGTGCACCAAAGGCACTTCAAGATGCTGAATGGTATTGGGGTACCATATCACGAGAAAATGTAAATGTTCTGATGAGGGATACCCCAGATGGAACTTTCCTGGTTAGAGATGCATCAACAGGAAATAATGAATACACTCTAACATTGCGTAAGGGAGGTTCAAATAAACTAATAAAAATCTGTTACTGCAATGGAAAGTATGGATTCACAGAGCCATATAACTTCAATTCTGTAGTAGAACTAGTGAGTTTCTGCTGTCAACAGAGCCTTATCCAGTTCAATAAAGCTTTGGATGTCAGGCTAAAACATCCAGTAAGTCGCTTCCATGGGGAAGAGTCCGAGACTGAAAGAATGCGATTAGAGGACATATTTGGTCGGCTGAATGACTTAAATAAGCAGTACCTTGCAAAAACAACTCAATATAAAACCTCCTATGAAAAACATCAGGCCCTAGCTCAGGATATGCAGTTAAGTCGGCAAGCCCTGGATGGCTTCACTGAAACAATGTTGTGGATTGAAGACCACCTCAAGCTCCATGACAAGTTCAGAATTGAAGCTCAACCCCATGAAGTTAATGAGTAAGTAACCTTATAGAACTTTTAATTTTAAGGCACTTGAATTGATTTTTTTTTCCTAATTTGTTGCAATAAGTTCCAATTTAGGAAAAATCGGTCTAACATGTGATTGTTATTGCAGTTTGTTGACCAACCGTCAAGTACTGTTGGGGAGGCTAGAAAACGTTAAAGAGGCTCGCGATCAACAAGATAATCATTTCTCCACAATGAAGAGAGAGTGCCTGTCTGCAGAGCGCCAGTCTACTGGTCTCAAGTTGGAAGTCTTGAAATTAGAAAAGCAAATGGATCATCTTAAGAATTTGTTACTCTCACGAGGACTCTCTGCTGAAATGATGGATCAGTGGCTTGACCAGTCGGAAATTCAACAGCCAGTATGTAGATTGATATTTTTAGTTGCTTATTATATCCCCAAATGTACAGTATTTGAAAATCTTATGCATGTGCTAAATTCACTCTTGACATGCTGAGAATTTGTTTATCCTTCATACTGATGATGCAGAATTTTACATAATGTTTATGTAATTTATGTGTGTAGTTGCAAAGTTCAACAGAATTAGTTTGGAAGGACTTAGAATGTTTGTTGTCATTTGAATTTTGACATTTCATTGTTATTTTCATATCTTTTGATAAAGTTCAGTAAGCAGTTGAAGAATATTATTTCTGCTATGTAGCATATACAGTATCAAATATTTATGTAATTATTAATACTTCCACAAATGAATACACCTTGACTATGTACTTACAGTGTCCAGAGCTGAATAATGCAGCCCTATGGCATGTGGATTCTTGCTCAAGAGAGAGAGCTGCAAGTCTGCTACACAACAAACCTGATGGAACGTTCCTCATAAGAATGGCCCAAAATGGAGGATATGCCCTCTCAATATCGTAAGTAATTTGTCTTTGAGAACAGCATTCCTTTCTTTACTGTTGGATGATGGTGTAGGGCAGGAGTAGCCAAACTATAGGCCACATCCAGCCCACATGTGCTTGGCATTACTGTGCTGTTTTATTATATAAGTGTGGGCCTTAAGTAAATGTAATTTAAAGCGATGTGCTTTAATGTAATTAAAGGGGAAAAGGATGATACAAACCAAAATTTACTTTTGTTCTTCAATTTTATAAACTAACTGGTGTTAATAGCCTCTTAGGAAAACAAATGAAGACACCTTTTATTGGGGCCATAGATAAATTCCTTAGATATACCGTATATACTCGTGTATAGTTCGAGTTTTTAAGACCAAATTTTTAGGCAAAAAATTGGGGGTCGTCCTATACATGCGTAATAGTTTTGTTAGGTTGAACCCGTGCATGATGAGAAGGGCGAGGAGCAACTTTTAGCTTCAGACATGAAAAATATTTACCATTTACTGCCGGTAAACAATGGAAACGTAAAATATGTACCAATTAGTAATGAAAAGTTGTGCGGTTCCTTCAGTAAATGAAGCTCGCCAACTTACAATAGGCTAATTTACCTTACAACGTGCTTTCAGTAGTCTATGTTGAAGTTCTTAGCACAGGCTAACTTATCATATCATATATACGGTATCACAGTTCTCACAGGCTAACTTATCATATCATATACGGTATCACAGTTCTCATTGATCTACAAAAAATACCGGCATTAAAAACCTTTTCGATATTTCACACTTAATATAATACCCAGTAATCTACTTCAACCTCCTATTGTTTACAATGACGCATCACGCACCACCAGTTGTATCAGCTAGACGGTACACGTGTTTTTCGAATCGTTTTCAGTTAAAAAACCGTTACATCACACGTATATTTTACCTAAACTGCGCCAGAATGAACATATTCTCGGAAATAAATAGTGGTTTTGCTGAAACGTGATGTATTTTAATGTAAAATAGGATAAAATACATGACGAAAACAAAAGATTTTACCTAACCTTCCGATGTTCAAGAGAAGTTACTCGTTTTTTTAATAGTTTTTGGTTAAAATATTGTTATATTACAATGGTATTCTAGTCATACTGAGCTTGATATAATGCATTCACGGAAATGTAATATTTTTGCTGAAATGACGTATGTATTACAGTGGAAAGTGGGATAAAATCGTGACGAAAGCAATGACTTTCGCTTTCTTTCATTCAAAAGATGTTACTGTAATCGCTTTTCGAATGGTTTTCAGTTAAAAAACTGTTGTATTACGATAATATTCTATCCTAATTGACTTGAATAAATACTACAATACCTTATTTCTGAATATTTTCATTAAAATCCATCAAAATCATTTTCCTTGTCATCGTCTGCAGCACCCAACAGCTTCTCCCAGTCCTCTCCTTGAACAGGGCTACAGGGTACGTGTTTTTCAAATCGTTTTCAGTTAAAAAACTATTACATCACACGTATATTTTACCTAAACTGCGCCTGAATGAATATATTCTCGGAAATAAATAGTAGTTTTGCTGAAACGTGATGTATTTCAATGTAAAATAGGATAAAATACTTGACGAAAACAAAAGACTTTACCTAAGCTTCTGTTCTTGAGATGTTACTCGTTTTTTAATAGTTTTCGGTTTATATTCTGTTATATTACAATGATATTCTATTCATACTGTGCTTGATATAATACATTCACGGAAATGTAATATTTTTGCTGAAATTACGTGCGTATTACAATGGAAAGTGGGATAAAATCGTGATGAAAGCAATGACTTTCGCTTTCTTTCGTTCAAAAGATGTTACCGTAATCGCTTTTCGAATGGTTTGGTTAAAAAACTGTTGTATTACAATAATATTCCCTCCTAATTGACTTGAATGGAAATATACAATATTTTTGTTGAAACTACCCATGTTTCAGTGTAAAGTGTCTTAATAATAAATGGTAAACAATTTGCCTTCAGCACTCATGTTTCATGCACGGCGAGCCTCAGTTTATAGGACGTAGAGCGTTTTTAGTGAAGGTTTTGTTGTTCCATTTCCCTCAAAAACATGGGTTGAACTATAAACGAGGAATATCGTAAATTAACGATTTCTTGGTCAAAAAATCAGGGTCGACCTATAAACGAGGGGGGGTTATAGACGAGTATATACGGTATGTACGATATAATTGTTAACAATTTATATTTCACAACTTTTAATATATTCTGCACACTTTCATATGAGGCACACAGCATTAGAAGGGGGTGACGCGCCAAATTTAAAAAGCGGAGAAAAACGCGTTTAAAGTTTTTCGAGGTTCAAACAACCATAACTGTATTGTTTTAAGCTAGAGGGTTCATTATTTTTGTTTTTTTCGTGCAGCTCAATCTCTCTCCTAGCGAACTGTGAAAACAGGAAGTTAGTACTGTGAATGGTTATTATTTTATCGCGAGTTGGATGAGAATAACTACCCATGATGTACAGTTGTTTGATCTTCAAAACAACAATAATAGCGTTTTTCTGCAAAATTTTCTTATTATTGTGGGCTAATACTGTAAAATAAGTTAATGATCACCACAAACAACACTTCTTACACACACACACACCCCCCAAATATATATATATATATATATATATATATATATATATATATATATATATATATATATATATATATATATATATATATATATATATATATATATATATATATATATATATTATATATATATATATATATATATACATACATACATATATATATATATATATATATATATATATATATATATATATATATATATATATATATATATATATATATATATATATATGTATTTATCTTTCGTCTCTATTAAATTTATAATATTGTTAATTATAATATTGTAGTGTGTGTACAAAGGTGGAGAAAGTTTGCATAATCTTTGGTAATAACAGTTCATTGTATTATAATAATAGTATTACAATCTTACTTTGTTTAGTTCCTTCATTTAATATCCCTGAAGATCATAGTAAGTTGAAGTTACGTAAATCCTGAGGAGTGTGCATAACGATGCCTCGTCACAATCAAATTACGTTTACTCTTGGCAACCTCCTGTGCCCACTAATCAACCCTCTTGTCTCATCCCCCCCCCCCTTTTTTTTCCCCGATAGGGCCTTGGGTTGGGGGTATGCTTCTAACCCCTGCAATCTGCATCACGTGGTGCTCCACCACCAACACTAGGCTCCCTAACTTCAAGTAGCTAGTCACCAACATTCTCACGCACGTCACCTGCACCATCGCCAGTAGCACTTGCATCACCATAATCACCACTAAATTCACCACCAAAATCACTATCACCATTCATGGTTGGGGTGTCCACGTGAGCACTGTCGTTGTCACTAAACACACGCTCAGGATTTAGGGCTCCTGAAGGCCTGGCCTAACTCTAGTCTTGCTCTAAAATCGCGCAGACATTGCACAGCGCTTTTCACCCGTGGAACGCGATTAAGTCAATGTTATGCCGAAAAGTTATCAAAAATAGAAAGTACAATGAATTGCCTTGTGCTATAACACGCCAAAACTAACAAGGAGGCAGCGTCTGGGCACGCGGATTGGTTGAGGAGCTGTGACGTAGCAAGGGAAATCCATTGTGATTGGCTGGCTCGGGGTATGGTCCACAGGAGGTACGCTGTCATTGGCTCGTGCTCCTCTCACCTTCATTTACTGAGCCAGCAGCCAGATACGTAGCTCCCGGCCCGAGGCGAAATGACACATTATTTTTTGAAGGACTTTCAACCATATATTTCTATTCTAGCCAACATGTAGAGGAATGGTGAAATTAGTGATATCCATAAAAAAACTCATTTTGCCCAGGGTGGTACTTCACCCTCTTCTAATGCTGAGCGCCTCGTATACTGTGCTGTAGACTGTGTTCATTTTGCTGTCTTAGCCGAGAAGCTTATTTAAAAAAATGGAATGGATGCTAGTAAGCTTCTTTGACCGGTTGCCTTCTCATCAAGGCCATTGAATCTTCACTTATTGTTCTTATCATGAATTTGTAAAATTTGGTTTGTCAGTACAGTACTACCCATATCATAGTTTCTAATTTTTGAAATTGTATTGCAACTGACAGTTCTTTCCCATTTAATCTGATGGCACAAAAGTATTGTATTCTTTGAGAAGTGCACAGCATTGCATGAAACTTTGAGACCATGCAGTTACATGGTTTATCTATTGACATAAAACATAAGCTCAAGCTTTCTGTATTTAAATTGTTTCTATGGAACTACAGTACAGTCTAACCTTTTTCAACTGGACTTCAATATTGAACACAAATTAATTTTTTTTGGGGGGAGGGGGGGGTGAGTGACTGGCTGAAGTACTCAAGACTACCCTTCTATATATCAGATTCATGTGGGTGATGTCACTGTTCACTGCCATGCAAGACAGTGGTTCATACACAAAGAAATACATCATATTCTTGGTATATATAGGTCAGTCATGTGGGTGATGTCACTGTTCACTGCCATGCAAGACAGTGGTTCATATGCATTGGAAGTCACATTCTAAGACTAATCAGTGTGGGCTGGCAAATTTGGGATAAACAGCAAGAATGTCCCCAAGCTTAGCACAAGTCACTATCTATCCAGGAAAAGGTTGAACTATTGCAGAAATTAGATAAAGGTGCATCAGTACAGAGCTTGTGTGAGAAGTATTACTTTTTCTTATTTATTTATGTCATATCTTATGTTTTTATGCTTTATGTAGGGTGTTTCGAGGGTGAATTTCCATGGTCCGGCACTGGTCAGGTCCCGAGGTTGCCGGACTAGAGAGGTACAACCTTGTTAAGTTATCATTACACTACATGCGTGTTTCGGTTTTATTTATTCTTTATCAGTACTTGCAAGCAAGTTTGTTTATGCAATGTATGTTTACACCTTATCTTGATTTTTTTCCAGATGTAACAAGGAAGTGCAACATTGTAGAATATACGAAGGAGGACAAGGTTTTGGGTTTGCAGAGCCATTTTTGATCTACCCAACACTAAGAGAGTTGGTTAGGCACTATTCTGAGAACTCCCTACTCATGCACAATGACCTGCTCAACACTCCTCTTAGATACCCAGCCCTAATGAATAGCTAGTAACAACCATAAGGTTATCAGGGAACAAGAAATTGATCAGGTTGTTGGAAAACTTCAACTTGGTGTATACAAACCCAACCACGGCTATTCTGCTGGTGATTCAGTGCTTAGCTAATGAAAGAAAAGGGCAGTGATGTGGATTTTTATGATTGCCATGAATACCAATGGAAATAACTGAGTTGTATATATAGAGTGGACCTCTTCTCAGGAAACCAGTGACTGTTGCCAGGAATGTCATGGATAGTATATGATATGCATTCTGCAAAATACATGTGATGGCTTTAATTTGCAGAACTTATTTTAAAGCATTGGACATGGTCTGTTGCACCTCTGCACATGGTGTTTCATGGCTGAAGGCCATTTTGCCCCTCTACAGCTACTACCAGACTTCTCTCAGTGACTATACAATGCAGTCAGACAGATTTAAGTTATTATATTAAGAATATATGCAATGTTAGCTGAATGAATTCTGGTAGCAGTTTTGTGGAGCCTCATTTTTTACTCTGTGGTACAAAATAGTTTCAGGACTAGCAAAGGCAAGTTGTTTCAAAGTGACATTGTCACATCCTACAGAGTTTAGTATCGAGTGATCAAAGTACGGGTAGAACCCCTTAACAACGAGGCTACCCATACATATGTTGTTTTCGTGAGGCCAAAGACAATAATCCATTGCAAATATTTTGCTGTCAATGCTTGATAAACCCCATAACCTATATTGTTTTAAAATAGTTGATATTTTAAATAATATTAACAGATAGACTACACATATTCTGTGTTAATATTTGATACTATGAAATGTGCTGTGAAGAACTGATTATTCTTTGTTTCCAAAGATTGTCAAGATCTCCTATTCAGACAAGGGATAATGTATTAGTGTTGGATATCAATATGTGTGACAGAAGTTATTGAGGTTAAGAGAAGTTACTGCATTCCAGTTATGACTGAGCAGAATATATCCAGCAAGTCCTTTTAACAGGTGACACCAAATCAGACATAAAAACTCTTGCAAGTGTGATATAAGCATTAATAAAAAGAAAAACAGACACGTAAGTGCTGTAACTAGAGACAAAGACTTGGAACAGAGGGGTATCCAAGTCAACTCTAGTCGCCAGATATCCCAAGCCACATGCTACACCATGTTTTTATTCATAAACTAAAGTTTCATCTCATTTTTGTAATTTTTAAGTATAGAATTTTTCATACATTAAAATTGTTTATATGTCATTCATTTGTGCTATGTTCAAGTGCATACTGTACTTAGATTATATATATAATATATATATATATAAAATATATATATATATATATATAAATATATATATATATATATATATATATATATATAAATATATATATATATATATATATATATATATATATAACATATATATGTAAATATATATATATATATATATAAATATATATATATATAAATATATATATATATATATAAATATATATATATATATATATATATATATATATATATATATATATATATATATATATATATATATATATATATATATATATATATATATATATATATATATATATATATATATATATATATATATATATATATATATATATATATATATATATATATATATATATATATATATATATATATATATATATATATATATATATATATATATATATATATATATATATATATATATATATTGTATGGATCGTTTCTACACCTCATTATATTTATAAACACTGTCTTCCACTAAGTAATATCTGTATTTGATAGGTCAGCCATGGGTTAGATATTGAGCTTGGATCACTTTCTACTTAATGATCTGATATGTTGCAGAACTAGTCTTCTTAAATCACAATTAAAAAATAATAATAACTGCATAGCTGAAAGGTTCCTGTCCTTGCCTGTGTGCTCTGTATTTATCATTTAACAGTTGAGAGACTGAGTGGTTCATTTGTTTTCATCATCATCTAGCCATCTTGCCTTATTATTACATGCCCATTGAACCATATATATATATATATATATATATATATATATATATATATATATATATATATATATATATATATATATATATATATATATATATATATATATATATATATATATATATATATATATATATAAATATATATAAATATATTATAGAAATGGTTCAAGACTGCTATAAGAGACTCGTCTTGAGCCCGGTGAATTAGGTTGCAGTGGGCAGGTGGTATGAGGGTTGGTGGCTGCACAATGTGATAACTGTGGTGTGTGGCTTGGGCAGTTGTGTGCCAAGGCAGGTAGTCATGACTTGGCCACACAACCACTACCCCTCCTTGTCGCTTGTCACCTTCCCTCCCATGCTACACAGGGAAAAGAAGTCAATAAAGTGCTCTTTGGTCAAAGGTGTATTTTGTTCATCCTCTTCTGCTTAATTTATATTGTTTCGTTAAAGGGGGGGTGAACATTTTTCAAATGGGAAGAAAAGAACTTAAAAACTTATTGTAGTGTGCCCATGCATTGTCCCATGTGGGGTTCAGAAACATATGCTATAGCTTATAATTTTGCTCTGATTAAAACATAGCAAATATTTCCATTTTGCTGATTATAAAAGAAGCAAAATTTTAGTTTATACAGGTACAGTAAGGACTAGTCTAATGTAGGTTTATCTAATCCAGATTTGATTACAAACAGTTCAGTAAATGACATTCTTTGTTGAATGATAAAATTTGATTTTCCCAGTTAGCTTGGCAGTCACACATTAGCCAATGTTCAATACATTACTGAGGAGAATGAGAAATAACTTCATAATTTTTCTGTAATTTTTAAATGTTTTGCTGGCTCGCCCATAAATTTTATTAAAGTCAAAAGATGCTTTATTTTGAAATGCAATGTAGAAAATTGCATAAAATTTCCAGTCTTGCAGTGTCCTAAATCGAGTGGAACAATGTATAGTAGCCTTCACATGAATGTACCACGGCCTAGGTGTGTGTGGGAGAACATTTACGAGGTGTTGCAATGCAGCGTCACACTATGGGTGCGAAACTGTGGTATACCCTGTTTGCTGGTTCCCCATAGTTTCCTAGTCACTCGGTTGTGGCTACACAACAATGCTACATAAAACGTTTTACAGGGTTCGTTTACCTCCTTTATTGTTAGTATCTTAACACAAATGGGTTAATTTTAGTTTCATGACATTCATTGAGCCCTGACTATGACACTGCCTTGCCACATTTTGTACCCAAGTCCTCTCACTCTCCCAAGTTGTGGTACATTCATGTGGAGACAACTGTGCATCAGTAAACCATAATGGGAGTACTGTATCTCAAATTCTTGAAATTGTTCTAAGACTAGTCAAGAAAATTTGGAATTGCAGTACAATGACTTACGGTATTTAATTTTTATGTTAGCTTGCGAACTTTGTTAGAAATGCGTATCCACAGAAAGTTGCTTGGTGGAATATACAATACAGGTACACGATTTCTATTGGATCTTCAAATACTGTTCAAAACTGGTGTAGCTAGGCATAAGGCAAAAAAAGTTTATGCTTAAACACTGAATTGGAAATGATGTACTTATGTTATTTTTCTACTAAAATCTATCCAAGAGAGGAAAGATTAATTCTAAGCAAAAATTATATGAGAAAGTTTATTACTAAAGATTCCATGTTTTTTCTTGCCGTCAGTTTATCTTAAAAAAAAACCCACAGCCCCAAGGGTGACATATATTTGATACAGTATTCCAATCATGGCTTAAACATATAAGAAAGGGGGTGGGGAAATAGTCTGCTGCCCAACCACTTTGGAAAGCACCGTAGGTGGTCTCCCTAGAAGGACAGTGGTTGTAAGACCATTTCTTAAATAAAATTATGGATCCATCTTGGCAAGAAGAAATCATTTCTATGGAAGTGCACACCACGATGTCTTAATAGGGATAAAAAAAAATTGGCACTAGGGGGTGCAACTCTTTTCAGCCTTGTACAAGCCTTCTCCGTAAGGATCAGTGTTCCCCCAAAAGACAATATTAGTACCGAAAAAAATAATTATTGTTACTAAGAAAAATGTATCGGCAGCAAAAGAAATTGAAAACAAATTGTTGCAGATAAGAAGGAACACTTGGCAAAACTGGAACACAATCAAGTAACGACTTGCATATTATTTACATCCCCTCCCCCTTTACGAAAAATTGTCATATGTCCAAAGGGCAAAATATCTTATTTTTCAAGGCAATACAATGTATACATTACTGCACATGAAAAAAATAATAAAATCGATCCATCCTGTGTGAAAAGTGAAGTGAAGTGTACCTAGAAGAGCGGGTGGTATCAGCCATCAGAGCCAAGGTCAAGACACGTTGAAAATTTCACCCTTCCAATCGTAATTGAAGGTTACCAATTGAGTTGTTGAGAACTATCAGTTAAACTATTATCATCTAAAGAAATCTTAATAAGGTTAAATATAATAGTTGTTAAATTGTATCAGTAACTTTAAGTTACTAAATAGAGTTAAATTGGGAAAATCTTTCTACGTTTTCAGTCAATTGACAGTGGTGTATCTCGGATACCAGACAGAATAACAGTAATTCAACTTTATGAGTGAACAATACAATTCTGAAAAGCCTTATGAGAAACAGACCACGATATCTCTCCCTCATCTCCAACTCCTCCCCGCCTCAACACATACTTCCTCACATACACACACACACACACACACTTTATCCTCTTTGCCACTTGTCTGCTTGTTAACTGCTAGGGCGATAGCCAATCGGTCACATCTCTGTTATGCACAGTTGGCAAGTACAGTATTGGGCATGTACTGGCTCCTGAATGTATCTGTACTTGTGCCAGTGTTCGTAAAGTCTGGTCTTGAATGAGCTCACATTCGGTGCCATCTCAAGAGTCGCAAATTGGACCAAGAGCTCACAATTCTCTCCAAAAAAATTGGTCATACATTCATGACAATGAATTTTAACAACCATAATGCCATTCCTTTGACCACTGCTGTAGCTGATAGATCTTTCTATAACTCTTCACAGTCTATTTGGTTCTTCATTTTGCTTAATAGCTTAGCATTGTCCACAACCATTTGAATGGAGGAGTGTATAGTTTCTAGTACTGTATATAATTTTGAAACAAGCAAACAACAACGATCCGAGTACACTGCCCTGCAGTTCCCCCACATGTGTTGTACACATGGCGATTTCAAGCCAACAAAATCTAATAGATGCCAAGGTTAATACAACAATATCCAAAAGACCCCACGGTCAAACATCACCAGATGACTGAGGCTACATCACCACCACCACTGCACGACTGAGGCTACATTACCACCACCACCACCAGATGACAGGAGGCTACATCACCACCACCACCAGATGACAGGAGGCTACATCATCATCACCACCACCAACCAGATGACTGAGGCTACATTACCATCACTAACACCAGATGACTGAGGCTACATAACCACTACCAACACCACCAGGTGACCACCATATGACTGAGACTACATCACCACCACCAGATAACTGAGGCTACATTACCACCACCACCTGATCACTGAGGCTACATCAACACCACCAGATGACTAATGATAACATCACCACCACCACCACCAGATGACTGACGTTACATTACCAACACCAGATGACTGAAGCTACATAACAACCACCAACACCAGATGACACGAGGCTACATCACCACCACCACCAGATGACACGAGACTACATCACCACTATCAGATGACCACCACCACCAGATGACAGGATGCTACATCACCACCACCACCACTATCATATGATTACCACCAACACCAGATGAGTGACGTTACATTACC